TGCTGTCTGAAGTGCTGTCTGTACAAAAACATCATGGTAGGCATGGTTCAAGCAGCTGGCGGGGCACAAAGCTGCTGTCTGAAGTGCTGTCAGAATGTGTCTGCGGACGTACAGTGAAAAAGAACAACCCACCAAAGCCATCATAGCAGCAATTGACAATCACCCGAATCTCTCCCGATCGTCTGTGTTAGGCACTGCAGTGAAAAATATCGACACTAGCTAAGAATCGTTCCACATTGAAGGGGTCTTCCACGATCAGGCACAAAACCAATGCACCCGGGTTAGCCACGCCATCTCTGACGGGTCTCTCTACAAAACCGGTGACGATGTCATCACACAAAACCAACACGGAAAGTCAGAAAAAAAACGAAAATATACGAAAAGATAGAGATGGGCTCGTTGTGTCATATTAAGAAAAAGAAAAAAAAAAGAAAAAAATTGACAACACAGATAGAATTGTTTGTCCGTGCGCCACGGGTCGATGTCGCCCGCATGCTCCGGTGCCGCTGCTCCGTCCGGCGCCGCTGTAGTCAGCCCGAGCATAACGCCACTCGACCTGCTCCGTCCGTACACGCTCTCGTTGCTGTCCTTCCCAGTCGGTTCCTCGCTTTCTCCCTCGTTGCACTCAAGGTTCTTGGTCTGAAAAATAAAAATTCTCGCGCCGAAGGGGTCAACCAGCCCAGTTCAGCTCGTCGCCACCTGCTCCCTCCTCCTTTGATGGCGAAGCCAGGTTACTGAGGCAATACAGCTCCCTCTAGCAAACCTAGGGCCGTGTAGTGCCCGTCCACCTTTCTGATGGTGTCTGCCTCCGCGCACAAAAATGATATGGGCATCACTTCCTACGCCGACGGCCAGAAAGGCCCGCGCATCTACATTTTCCCGCCTGACCCCATCAGTGCCGACCCAACTCCACCACCACACGCACGCCTCGCGGCGGATGCGCAGCAGCAACAAGGTTTCGGTCATCCCTTGAGGGTGAGTCTAGCCCTGCTCTCCAGAAAGACCCCCCCCTTCACTACAACCCATGTCGAAGCAAAAGCTTGTCGAGGAGCGAGGCGAAGGGAGAGTAACGTACCATAATCGCACCAGGCAACACGCGCCAGCAGGGCATGGGGAGTAGCGGAGCAAACAGGACAAAGAGGCGGCAGATGGGCAGACAGCCAGATGTACAAAAAACACAAGCAACAGCAAAAGCGAGAACAAGGTACCCAAAACAGCAGTAGAGTAGGCAGGGAGGACATGAAAAAAAAGAAGCACAACACAGAGGAGGCCGAAGGCAATACAAAGGACATAAACAAAGGAGTATAGCATACAGCAGGGAGGGAAACAGGGCGCAACAACGTCAGCCGGGTACATTGTTCGCCACAAGTGCTGCCTCGGCCGCCCTACTCGCTTCTACAGCAGTGCTCGGTCGCCGTTCTTCCCCCCCACCCCCGCTTCCCCGACTCTCTTTCTCGTCGGTCCTGAGATGTGAATAAGGCGGAATGCCCGATAATATACGTATATTATAAATTAGATGCCGAATTCTGCGCCCAAACCCAGATCTTATAACTGGCCGGGCCCTGTATAGACTAAGGCGGTAAATCCCCATCTCAAACCCGATACAATATAAGGCGGTGATCATCTTCGCATCTGCGGTATGTCCTCTGCGAAGCACCTATTCTTCTCTGACACCACGCACCTGGGCGAGTGAACACTGTAACATCACATTGTTTTGTCGACACAGCTATCCATCGCGCTATTCGGTAGCTTAACGATACTCCAAAAGCTACGGTTTTGAATTCGATCTGGGGTTGTTTTGTTCTTTTGCCCTTCCCTGTGTGTTCTGTCTTCTCTATGTGTTCGGTGGGGAGCCGTTTATTTTTGCTTGGCTGATGAGAACCGAGCATGGAAAATATCCTGGCAATAGGGAGGGGTCGGTAAGATCGATCATAGAAGCAGGGCGCGTTGCCCCGGTTGGTAACGTTTGATTTTTCATTTTTTCATTGTTCCATTTTCATGTCTTCCTCACGTCGCGTGTAAAGGGGGGTGGTAGGTTTCAAAATATATGGCGAATTTGTATTGCTTTGCCGACTCTTAAGGGTCATATTTCTGTGTCTTGCCATTCTCGGCAGTATGTTATCCTGTGACCACCGCATTGACCGAATCATGGAAGTGTTGGATCAAGACAGACAGATGAAGATACTGGGGGGGGAGACCGTAACCATGACATCAACAACAACAACGAACAACAGCAACCACCACCACCACCGCAACAACAACAACAACAGTTCATTGGAATCCGAAGCAATCGCGAAATAAAAAGGCATCGGTTGAGCAACATCCTATGTATTGCAATTAACAATTATCATGCCCATCAATAGGCCACACGTGGTGCCAATCGGTAAGCCATTAAATTCCCGATCGCTCAGGGTATGATCTATGCCCGCGTGCGGCAGTCGGACATTTCAGAAGTCTCTTATTGGCGGATAGATGCAGTAGAGCCTTTGCGTTGTTTTCTTGCACAGAAGCTAAATTCGCCGCGAAGAGCTTTGTGTGTTTTCGTCCTAATTACAGTGGCGACAGGGTGGATGTTTTTTCGCAGACGAGGAAGTACAAAAGTAATGCTTTAACCCGTACCCAAGGGCCAAGCGTCATGGACGCAGAGCACAGAAAATCGTGGTTTCGTGCCACAAATGCTTTGGTCCAGTTGGCTAGAGTGTTGCCCTTCAAGAAGGTATTACAGACGTTGTTCCCCGCATCGGCACCCAAGAGCAAACATATGACAAGTACGTGGATATTATGTACCAGAGGGCTTGTATCGCTCTGCCATCGGATTGTTCATTCCGCCGCTGAATACAGCAGTGGTAGGTTTAAACGTTGCTCGTTCTACGTGTTTTTCGTGGAAACATGGGGCGTGATCATCTTGCACCCAAAGACGCGCCGCGAGGTGAAACCCACCACGCTAAAAGCCCATTTTGCCCCAAGTAAGGCGATCACCGCCCTGAATTCTGCGGTAACCGCCTTATTTCACGGCATCTTCGTGAATAAGGCGGCTACCCGATACATGAGGGTTGGATTCACCACGCACACCACGACCTTAAATCGGCCCCCCTACTGCACCAACAGCTTCAGACGGGCACGGTCAGCTCCGTGCAAGAGGTCAGCTTGAAGCAGAAGGCGGCAGTAGTAGGGAGTGAGGCACTCGAATCCTCGTAATTTCCACCTCGTCGGCACTGCGCAGTGCTGAGCAGAGGGCCGGTTTTCTTTCTCTGTGGACAGCAGTAAGTACCGTGGGACCCATGTACGTTGTTGGGGGCCGCCGTCTATTGTTGTGATTTTACGCTTGTCGGCTGGAAGGCATCCCCAGCGTCAACGTGCCGATGCCCGACATGTAGAAAACCCGGCAAAGCACATCCAATCAACCGAGATTCCCTCAATACGCCTTTCAACGGCAGTTTGCCACCACCACGCGACTTCTTACTGCTGTACCATGCATTCATGCTGTTTTCTGAAGACAAAGATTTTTTGATGTTGACTAATTTTGAAAACAGACGCAAGCGCGCCATAAGTTGCGCAACAGACGCACAAGGCCAGTCGGAAGGAATCGCGAAAAATAGAAATAGTTGACTCTCGGACAGGGAGCAGTAGATGCTGCCCCAAAACATACATTTTACGCGTCTACGTCCACACGCCTCATTTGAAACCAAGATGAACTTCCCACCATTCCAAATTCAAGTCAAAAGAGCCTACACGGAAGGCGCTCAAATGAGGTCGCGCATCAGAATCACTGCGGTAGACCCACTGTGTTGAGGAGATTGGGGTCAGTGGCGGCGAGCACGACTGTGACAGCTCTTGGATGCCGCTTGGTTCCGGCGCAAATTTCGGACCGTTTTTAAGGTTGCTGCGACCTTCGATATTTCAGCTCCAGTAGCAAACCTAAACGTGCCAGCACGCACGACGCCTCTTCATGGTGTCTTCTACTGATGACAATAGAAACCCGCAGCTAACCCTAACCCGAAGGTTGTTTTCTTTTTTTGAAATTGAATGAAATATTGCAACAGAGCCTGCGTCAAAACCCCTTTTCTCCACCCCCTCAACGTAAACGGCCGAATACTCGATCGTCGACAACATCCTGGTAGATAGGGGGAGCACACAGATCCCAAAGCTGCACGTGAGTGCGATAGACATAAGTTTGACCAACCACTTCCTCATACGGGCAAACATCGACCGATCTAGAAAGATGGAGTGTAAGAAACATAGGAAAGTGTTCCAGTGGAAAGTAGAGCATTTGGGACACGAGGGTACACGGGATGAAGACCAGAAGGGACTGGCTGGAAGTGTAGAACCCTTCAGGAAACTGCTGAGAAGCGTCGAAGACGGACAGGTAGACGTACAAGCAGCAGGGGACAGGGTGGGAGTCCAAAGTGAACGCAACTGCAGAGAGAGTAGTGGGAAGGAAGGTGGTACGATGGGGGGTATCGATTAAGTGGTGGGATGACGAGCTGAAAGGAGAAATAGGGGAACGTAGAGAAGTCTTCAAGCAGTACCTGAGTGAAGGGTCTGGGGAGAGTTGGGAAAAGTACAGGGCCAAGAGAAAACAGGTGAAGGGACTAAATAGTGAAAATGAAGAAAAAGTGCATTGGAGACGAAGTAGTGCAGAAGGCCAACGGAGGCCTGTAGGGGAACGTCAAGCAGATGTGGGAACGGATTACTGCTCACCAGGGTTGCTGGCTGTGTGGCGATTCACGCACAAACACGGTGAGTATGAAAAGAGGCCTGGAGGGGAACGTCAAACAAATGTGGGAAGGGATTAGTGGAATGGTAAAAAAGACCGCGCAAGGGAGGGATACAGGGGTAGCAACTTTGCGAGGTGTGAGCGGTGGACTAGTCAGCGGTGGGAAGGTAAAAAGGGAAGTTCTAGCAGGACACTACAAGAGACTTGGAGTGCCCTCGGAGAATGGAGCTTTTGACCAAGCGTTTAAGAAGGAGGTGGACGCATGGGCCCAAAAAGAAGAAGAGACATCGAAGGCAGACGTTGGGAACGTAGAACTAGAAAAGGAGTTCACTGAGGACGAGGTTGAGGCGTGTGTGAACAAGCTGAAGTGCCACAAAGCAGCAGGAGCGGATGGGATAGTCAACGACTTCATGAACTTTGGGGGGAAGGGGATGATCCAGATGATGGTACCGCTCTACAAATGGGTGTGGAAAAACGAGCATGCGCCGAGTAGATGGAGGGAAGGAGCGGTTTTGGACTTGTTGAAGAAAGGAGACAAGACTGACCCAGGAAACTACAGGGGGATCACACTGTTGAACAC